CAGGGCTGGCAGGGGTGAGAGGGGTGCCCGCAGTGAGCCCTGGCTCCACTCCAGCCCTTTTCCGCGCAGCAGGAGGCTCCGGAGAGCAGCTGGCTGCGGGCAGAACTGGGCCTGCCCCTGCTCCCAGGCTGCTATGCCAGATTCCTGCTCCTTTAGTATCCGTCCCCCAGCCCTGAGCCCCCCAGGTTCGGCCTCGGCAGCCGCCTGGGGCTCCTAATTGTAACGGCAGACAAAGAGCCGGGCTCTGACCGCAGCACTGCGTCTGGCAGCCTGTGCCTGGGGACGCTGGAAGTGCTGCCGGCAGCCTCGGCAGTGGCCGGGCTGTGAGGGGGCCTGTGGCCCCTCAGGAGCTGGAGGCTGAAATGGCCAGCGATGCCTAAGCCACAGGCATCACCCCCAGGCTCCTGGCTGCAGCCCCCCACCGCTGATCCCCAGGGCTGAGGGCTGTCACGCTCCACATGGGATGTGGGAGGACCTGCCTGCTGCTGCTCTGCCAGTGCAGAAGCCCCCGTGGGGGCTCCGGGTGGCCCTGGCTCAGGACAGGGCATGGGCGAGTGAGGAAGGTCGAGTTGGGAAGGGAGGTTGTGCAGAGGGAAGCGGCGGGGGCTGTAGGAGGGAGGGGCGTGGGGGCTGAGCCAACGCTGCGTTTCCCACAGGCACCGAATGGGCACGGGTGTGTCCCAGCGTGTGTCCCAGCGGTGCTCCCGTGCTTCTGCCTGCTGTCTCTGCAGCGGGAGCTCCGGGTTTGCCAGAGATTCGCTGTGTGTGGAACGAAAGGTGCCACCTCTGCGGTAGCTGTGCTCAGACGAAGCTGCTATTGTAACACTGGCCAGGGCACACGTACAGGCAGCTGCCTGCCAGGAGGACATCTGCCTCTGCTCACCCCCGGCTTGGCCTCAATCCTGCCCTTTGGGGATGGTCATGTCCCCCCTGGGAGGTTTTTGGTGCTGTGTCTCTGCTGGAGCTTGGCCAGGTGTCCCCCAGCTCCCAGATGCTGCCGGTTTGGGGCTGGGGTACCTGGTCTCCTCAGGTATAGGGGTCCAGCACGGTGTCTGCTCCCCACCTGGTGTCCCCGACATCCCATCCTGGCCCCCACGTGCCACTGGGGGAGCTGCAAGGTGACAGCTGGGACAAAGTCATCACGGGGACACGAGGATTTACCCCTGTCCTCCCCAGGCTGGGGACAGGCAGGGACCTGCCACCTCTGGGAGACCCTGCATATGACAGCACAGCCCGATGACGCGGGCTCCCCACTCTGGGAGGGGGACAAGGCTTTAGTGGTTGGCTCCAGCCTCGACGTTCGGTAGCCGCAGCTAACCGGTGTCCCAGCGCTTGTCACCGAACGGTGTGAGGAGCAGTGGGTGACACCACAGGCACCCCGGAGCCACCGCGGGGCCCAGCCACCCACGTTCCCGGGAATGGTCCCACTGCGGGGCGAGGGTCCCGGCTACAGCATCTCGGCGGAATCTCCGGCTCAGGTTGTGCCGTGCTGGATACGGCATCTCCATGGAAACCCCCGGCTCGGGCGGTGCGGGCTCGGGAGATGCCATCTCCACGGAAACCGCTGCGGCGCCCGGATGCGGCCGGGATGCGCCGGGCACCGGTACCACGGAGGGAGAGATGGGGTGTCGGGGAGCCCTTGGTGGGGGGCGATGGAGGCTGAGAGGCCTGGGGAGCAGGGACCACTCCGACCCCCGCACGGGACAGGAGCGACAGGGAAGTTGGGGGGAGCACTCCTGTGCCTGAAATTCCAACCGCAAACCTTCCTCCCCAGCTCTCTTCGTCCTGCACTGTGCCAGGCTGAGCCTCACATCCCCGTCCAGCCTGGGAGGGCTCAGCCCCTCTCCCCCCCCGGGGAGTGGAGCTCAAGCCCGTTCTGGGGAGGATCGTTTCCAACCCGTGGGGGCTGGAGGTGTTCAGGGATCCCAGCGAGCAAAGGCACAGAACCCCAGGGATCCTGGGGTGCTCCATGAGGGCCCCAGTGCTTGCACTCACATCCCGAGCTTGGGAAGCCAGAGGGACAAGATTTCAGCTCCAGAAACAGCCCAGATAAAATATTTTACAGGTTATTTATAGCCTGCATTAAAAAAAAAACAAACCCACAAACAAAAAAGAAACCAAAAAAACCCCAATTCCCCCCCCCAAAAAAACAGCGACCAAAAAGCCTTTTGTTTGTTGATTTTAAATCTGCCTTTTACTCCATCCCGCTCCCGCTGGCCTCCCAGGATGGTGGGTGCAGGAGCCCGGCTGCACCGGCAGCTCCCCTGCGCTGGAGCAGTGCATGGGCTCGGGCACCGGCTCTGCCGGTGGGTCCCTGTCCCAGGGGACCCCGCGGTGGTTGTGCCGCTGCCTTGGCACTCCCCAGCCCCACAGGCAGCGCCGGCCGCCCCTTTGCCCCGGTTGCCGGTGGCCCCCGTGCCAGCTCGGCTGGGCGGCCGAGGGCCGGGGGATTAGCCCCCGCTCCCCGCTGGCACCGGTGAGCTGCTCGGCCGCCCTTCGACCGGCGGCTCCCGGCTCTCCGTAAGCCCGGCTTTGACGTAGCCCGGAAAGTAGGCCAGTAAGAGCAACCGCAGCCGCTCGCAGCTCTCGGGGGACGCGGCGCTGGGGCGGCCGAGGGAAGGCTGCGTGTTCGCACCGCTGCTCCGGGGCTCCCGTGGCCGAGGTGGCGGCCGGCGACAGCAGAGCTTTTTGTCCAGGTTCTCCCCGACTCGCACCTCGTCCGGCAGCCAGAGGCCGGCCCTGCTGCCGCGGGAAGGGCGAGGATCAGGACGGGGAAGTCCTTGCAGGGAGCCGTCCTCAGCCCACAGCCGTGCCGGGGCCCTGGGGGCTCCCCGGCTCGTTTCTGTCCCCCCTGCAAAGGGCTCCCCCAGTCGTAGCTCCTCTCCCCACCTTCCCTGCTGCCCTGGGAGCTGCCAGTGGACACCCCTGGCATCCCCCTTTCCTGCAGCAGACCTGCAATTGGTTATTAACTAAGAAACCCCATGCTCCTGTGCCCAGCAAATCCACTTCTGCAGGGAAGTCAGAGGGATAAGCGTTGCCTCGATGTGGGAGCTCTGGATGAGCCTGTGCCAGAGTGGGGGGCCCACCCAGCTGCCTGGAGGGGTCAGAAGGTCAGCACCAGTGGCTCCCAGGCACCAGGATCCCTTCAACTCATCCCAGCAGCTCATGCTGATGCTTTCCCTGTTTATTTTTGAAGCATCTCTGGATGCTGAAAGCCCCAGTTCGAGCCCAGTCCAAGCCCAGCTCCTTGCAGGATGAGGCAGATCCAGCAGTCTGGCTACAGTTGTTCCCTCTCATGCTGAGCATCACCCACACTCAGGCTGCTGGACACACCAGCTATGCACGAGGCAGCCTCAGTACGGGGATCTGCACCTTGACAGGTCCCCTTGCTGCTCCAGGTGATCCAGCTTGTGACAGCAGCAAACCCACCTGCTCCACCCAGGCCTGAGCTGCTGTCACACCTGGTGGTCCCGGTCCTCTGCAGGATCTGCACCCCAGGGGGAGACTGCCCTGGTGCCACCATCATGCTGGCCCTGCGGGGAGTCACATCGGAGCCGGGGAGGTCCCAGTTCAGGTTGGGGCAGGGCCAGACCCCGCGGGGCTCTGCCCCCTCCTCGGGGGACAGAGATGGCACCACGCACGGCAGCAGCAGACCATCCTTTGCCATGAGGTGGGCCAAATTTGGGGATGGAAGAGGCGTGGGGAGTACCCCCTCCCTGCAGAGAGGCAAAGAGCAGGACAGTGCTCTACAGCACCTGCTGAGCCCGAACCAGCTCTGCTCTGACAGGCATCAGGCCCCTCAGGACCGTTCCCCACCCGGGTATTCCGAGCATCCCGGGGCTGGAGCTGGGGAGATGGGCTGGGTACTGGGGCAACCCGTACCCAGTCTGTACCAGCTGAGCACTGTCCTGGGGCTGGGGAGGAGGAAGGCAGAGCCCTGGGCCAGGGCAGGCGAGGAAGGGCCCCTGCAAGAGGGACAGGGACAGCAGTGCCGCAGGGATCTCCTTGCCTCAGTCCCCGGGGTCTGAAGGGGGCCCGGGGAGGGCTGTGGGCAGGTGGAGGGGCTGGCGGGGGCCTGTGCCTGCCCCACGTGAGCCCTGCCTCCCCCTGCTCAGGGCGTTTCACCTTTTACTAAAACAAACACGACACCCCCCTCGCCCCCCCGCGACAACCCCGGGGGCGAAGGTTTCCCATGGCAGAGGGACGCGGGCTCCGAGCTGGGGCCACCAGCCCCGCGAGGGGCTCTCGGCGTCACGGCACGGAAATGCTCTCCGCTTCCTTTAATTTTTTTTTTTTTCCCAAACAACACAACCGCGGCCCCATCGCAGGCCAGCGCTCTGACCCGCCCCGGGTGCTGCGGGGGCCGGAGACAGCCGGGCCGGGTCCCCGGCGAGGCCGTGGCACAGCCAGCCCCCAGCCCCACGTCAGCCCTCACTCCCCTCCCAGCCCAGGAAGGGCCAGCCTCTGGAGCCCTGCGGGGTTTTGGGTGGGAATTGTGGAGTCACAGGGTACCCACCGTCAGCCTGGAGGGGTGCCTGTGCCCCAGCCCCACAGGACGACCCCCACTTTCCCGGTCTGACCCGGCTGCAGGGCAGAAGGGCAGCCTTGAGACCCGGCAGCGCGCGGGGCCCCGGGCAGGCTGCAGTGCCAAGGTGGGAGGAGGTGTCCCTGGCATGAGGGACATGTTTCCTGGGATCAGCAGCAGCTCCAGCTCCTGCGCTGGGGCTGGGAGTGTTTCTCCAACTGGCGTGAGCACAGCCCACGTGGGAAGTGGGGGGAGAGGCCTGGAGGGATCCCTGAACAGTCCAGTAGGCTCCGGCACATCCCTCCGCCTTGGTGCAAGCACTGAGCACCTGGCTGTCACACTCCCAGGGGTGGCTGGGCAGGGGGCATGGGCTCAGCGGCAGCAAGAGGCAGAGGCGGGCAGCAAGAAGTCCACGGGCTGCCTGGGGACAGAGCCAGCTCCCAGCACGTGCAGAGCAGCAGCAGCACCTCATAGAGCCGTTTCCAGGTGACCACGTTTATTAATGCTGGGCAGGTACCTTGGGGGTACAAGCGGACCTGAGGAACATCCCCTTGGGGCCGAGCTCAGCATGGCAGGGCAGGGAGAAAGCCCCTTTGGCCAACATTTAAAAGTACAGAGAGGTAAAAAAATAGGGATATGGAAGATGAAAGCACAGGGCAGGTTGGGGGCAGCTGCTCCAGCCCCTCACTCCCAGACCTGCCCTGCCACAAGCCCTTGACCAGCCTCTCACCCTCCACTCGGCCAAAGCACTGGCCCCGCGTGGTCCCCCAGGGCAGCATGGAGGGCACCAGCCATCCCAGCCTTGGACGCTGCCAGGGCAGCCACATGGACGCAGCCCCGGGTTTCATTGCAGGGAAAGAGGAAGAAGGAACTGGACAGAACCAGGAGCTTCTCCTGGTACCTGTGCCCGCTCCAGTCCAAGCCCTTGGGCCGCAGGCACGGAGTTACCGCGCTTTGCGGTGTGGGCGGCGCCGGGACGGTGCCCGTCCCCGGGGCAGTGCCTCCTCCCTGGGGCTGGCCCCACTGCTGGGGGCCGTGTCGGGGACATCCTCAGCCGAGATGGGCTGGATGATGTGGCCGGCACGGGTGACTACGCGAGGGGCTGTCAGCTTCTGGAAGGCACGCTGTGTGTTCCACGTGGTGCCCACGGGCGTCCGTATGCTCTGCTCGAACTGCTGGTGCCGCTCGAAGGGGAAGGGCAGCTCACTGACCTGCGGGGACAGCACAGGGGTAATGTCTCTGAGCCCCTCAGCCCGGCCCTTCCATCTCATGCTA